GTTTACTAACAAATCGAATTAATGAGATCACCGTTCGCGGCCAAACGAATGGGAAACGTAAAATCCCACATCGAATCTTTCTTCCTTCTGTCCCGTATCTGAAACACTTAACGAGAAATGGGGATTCAAACGGGTTTCCATTTAAAGAATCAACTCATCGAATCCAAACTATTTGAAAAAAGTTAGAATTTTTTGTTGTTGAAATCGGAAGAAACTTGTTGATCAACAGGAACTCGTGATCGATAATAAACAAATAAATGTCATATTTACATTATTCAAGAATACATGTCCGACTGTTTTTCCGTTCGGCGTGAAAATATCGATAACAACGAGCTCCCGGTATTTATCGTCGAAAGGACAGCTGTTGCTCTTTGCACCGTTATTGTTTATCAATACCGATTACAGTCGACGCGTATTTTCAATTTACTTGAATTCACACAGTCCCGCGTCTATCAGTTGTGTATAGTAGGCCACGCGTGTACAAATTGTCTTCTGAATGACACACATTTCGTGTACGCGCGTTCCGCGTGTCAATGTTTGTGCGAGAAATCTTCGCTTCGACTTGTCCTATCATTGATGCTAGGCGGCATTAACACGTTACACGCTGTTTCGATGGTTATTGCCGCTCGTAACTGACCGGTGTACAAATCGAGCGGCAAGAATCAATTGTCCACTGCGAACACCTTGGGCACAGGCCCGGAACAAGATTTTTTGGGGCCTAGAGCTATCAAATCTTCGGGGGCCCCCTTGGTTAAAAAAAGGGAAGGGGGTTAACATTTTCTTGTAATAAAAACATACAATAAAATACACAAATATTCAGAAATTGAAATTTATTCTAAATAAAATTATTTATTTCAAATGAAATTAACCTTTAGAAGACGGAAAGTTTATTTTTAGGCTAAAGAAGAGTCGTTTGTTTATGACACTATGAAAAATTGCATATAAAAGTTCTAACTCAAAAATATAAAAAGTCGCAGAAATACATGCCCGTCCTCTAAAGGTAAAGAATATTCGGAATAACCTGACGAATATTCAGTAATATGCACATAACAGATTATTCTCGGTACATTTGATGCATTGTAATACGTTTCAACGCAGTTTCCGTGTTTTGTCAGGCCGAAAGAAGTTAATTACAAGTTACGGGGCTCGGTGATTGCCATTGTTACGTAAAGAATGTTTAGAGGAGTCGAACTTCCGTTCCTTTGTTTTGCAAACCGCTACATATGAAGCCACATCCCCGTCGCCACGTTTCGAGTCGTGTGTTGCTATTTTCTCGCAACGTCAACAAATCCCTCCGTGATCACGGAAGAAAATATCACGCTCTGACTAATTACAATGAAAATCGATATCCAGCCTGTTGGCCAATCTTCGTGACATTCCTCGCATTCCGCATCGCTTGAACTTGTCAATACAAATAAACTCTTTCATAAATCTCTGTGCGACAGACAAGCAACGACAGCGTGTGAATCATAACCGAGATATTTATAAACAAGTTCTTCCTTGTTTTTAGATATTTCGAGGGAACTGTCTACTGTGATGATGGTATTTCTAATTATGTAGCTGCGTCAAGGTCGTCTCAGTGTCACGAGTTCCCTCGCCTCCCATGATTCTATCTTTTTTTCTCTCCTAACCTCTACTGACGTAATTACAGAAAGCCTCGAATGGAACATGACCGGTGACTGTCTCGTCGTAACTGATGGATAAACCTTCGGAAGATTTCGATCACACGGACGATCAACCTCTGCCATAGTTATCAAGCGATAAGAGTTACACGAAAGGATTGATGAGTTGAAAATATTAACGGAGGGGTTCACGTATCCGAGGACTCATGAGAACGTCGATTCTAACGCCATTCGAGGGGGGTTACCGACCGGGGCCTGACCAAAGCTTACCCAACCTCTCCACCAGGTACACGTGTACCAACGTGACATTGACCAATTGTGAGTCGCGAATCGTAGCGTGAGTCGTTACAACCTGTAAGCATTGAAAATTACTTCCGGCAACCGGATCGACGATACATCCTGTCCCGATGGCTTAACAGTTACACACCGTTCTCTGGCGCTCGGTGGTCGCTTCCGAATGCACGTTTAAGAGTTATCACCTGCTCGAAACAATTAACGTTATCGGTGAGGTAATTCGAAGACCAGTTCTCTACACGAGAGAAAGACATTGTTACGGGGAGAAAATGTGAATCAGAGAATGTTGAATTGAAAGTTCAGTATTTTTTTCGTAATATGATCCTGTAAAAGAATACTTTTCGATGTACAGTTCTAACCTATAGGATTCCTGCTTCGATCAGCTGAATGTTTTTTTTTTTTTATCTCGTCGTGTTTCTCTGTTCATTTTATTCGTTAAGTTTCACGTTGACCGTGTAACTTACGTACATTCGTTCGAAAACGACGCGTTTCGAAGGTCATGAAAACACAAGATTCGTGATCTGGTTAAGGGAAGCCTACCACGCCTATCCGAACACTTTGTCCTGAGAATCCGCTGACCGGAAAGAGGACAGAGGGAATGGCACGCAAGGCTTACAGACGGTTCTCTGAATGCCATCAATGAACCTAATTAAATTACCATTGAAAAATTTCCGATCGATATACGGCGAAAGACACGTCGCAAGAAAATTACTTATCATTCGATACCTAATCTACCGTGGTAACTGTGTGTTGTAAAAGTGACCGAGTCATAGACGCACATGTGAGTTAAATAGTAGTCAAGAGATCCAAGACACTTTGCACCTCGTATTTCTATTGGATCAGGTTATGTCGCTTTCACCAATAGTGTGTGAGGATGACATAGCAATGAAACTGTCAAAGTGGATAATTAAATGTTCTAAACCACATTGCCTGTCGAGATGTGTTATTCTTCATCGCCACATCAGACGCAAACAAGTTCGCGTGTTTTAGCACGCTGGCGACAATTGTCTGGTGTTTATTAGCATATTCCAGTCGTTTTTCTCCATCCAAACGGGCCTGTTGCGAAACCGAGAGGACCGAGAGGAACACGGTGTATAGACGGTGCGAAACGAACCGCGCCGGTAGACGGTTATTATTAGAACGCACGCGTTATAAGCGATCGTCTTTGTGTACTTTAGACGATAAACTGGTTTCGTGAGTGTCGCGCGTCCAATCAGCCTCGTGAAAAAAATAAGTACCGTCGCGCGCGCTCGGAATTCCTTGTCGCGCGTAAATTTGCACGAGGAGACCAGCCTGTGTAATTGTTGGATCGCGACGGCGGCGGCGCCACATTCCTACCGGCAGAAAACAGACATATACGGGGGTATCTGGTGAATCATCATACACAACCGCGAGAAGAGAATTATTAATAACATTTTAAATGGGCTTAACAATTGTTAATAAAGTTTTAAATGGACTTTAATTTTGGAAGTTTCTCACGCATATGTGACTTTACGACTATCAAGTGCCATCCATTAAGGTATGGTAAAGTAGACTATGTCGATCCACTTACCAATTTTTTCTATGCTTCACAGACAGAGTCAACGGCCGGGATTCATAGTCACAACTTATTCTTAAGCATTTGCTTAAGGCCAACGTCGAGATCAACTTTCAGTAATCCTTTGTCGTTTCAATGAATGTAAAATTGTATAGGCAAGATTTTATATAATTGCATTCTGAAAAGTTGTACAAAAAATATTTGGATACTTTGGAGGAAAAATAATATTTCTACAAGTCGTTTCGATATTGCAGTACCGTATAGGACGCTTAGTACATAAAGGTATTCTTTTTGATAAAGATCTAGGATACATAACAAACGGTCTCAAGTACAGATATTTTTCCCTTAATCGAGAGATAAAGTTACTTGAGAAAAGTCAATAATTCGATTACGATTCGCTGAAGTGTTACTAAATTGTTGATACGATAAAATTGTACGTTGATTTATCCGACCTTTCCGTGCGTTTTCATGATATTAACAATTAATTCGTGTAATGCGTTTCCATCGTTTAGCTTCTCATCTTGTGTGGCCTATCGATGACTTAAAATAAAAAATCCCCAGGACCTGGTTAAATGCAGGTGTACATACGAAAGTGTTCAGAGATATTTGCATTTCCATACGTCGTTATCGATACTCTTCGCAATTCTCGAGTGATAAGGATTAATTGTTTCGTCATCGCCTCTGCAAACATTAAAAGCTTTTCAGTATTTAATGATAATAAAACCGTGATGCTTTTGAAATGATTGCAAACGATGTCTTAAGATGTGCTCAGTAAACAGTTATCGTACATGGTTATTAATTAAAATTTTATTTTTAAAGCTAACCAGAGACTTGTATCGACAATTTAATATAATTGGATACATGTACATGTTATATATCGATAATACAGTGTATGTCTCTGGACCGAATATGTAATATAGTGTCACCTTCGAATGATTTCAGTGAGAGATAATTTTATTTAATACGAATAATTTCATCGTCCTCAATTATGTGAAAACGTTCGTACCAAACCGATAGTATCGTCCTCAATGAAATGAAAGAAATGCGATAACGTGAAAATTTTAAATTCTCGCCAATTACGTTGGAACGTAAAAATCAGAATACATACACTCGAAAACCGTATAATTCTGCATTCCATGATTCCGTAACGAATTCCAGGCATTCTGGGCATCGATATGAAAATCCTTTCAATTAACCGTTGAAAATGGAACAAAGAAATGCTTTACAGGTTAGAAAGTTTTCTCTCGGAATGTCCATTCACCTCGTTTACGTTAAATTGGTGCACGGTATCTGGACCAATGGGAAAAATAAATCGAATATCACCGATTACTGAAAAAAGATCGTAATTTGTTAAGTACTCACACTCCTAATTATTTATAGAGACTTAATGGAATACATGTGATGATCGTACTAACAAAATATTAACTGTGTGACTTAATTTAATCGGGTAATATTCCTCAGAATAAACCTTTTCCATCGGTTTTGTCTTTTTTATTATTAATATGTATATATGACAGTTACTATATGTAGGCTATTTTCATTTACAGAATTCGTTTGGACGGCCGGACGATATCGTCGCAGCGGAAACGCTGGCGAATCATGTCCGCTGCAACAACTCGTTCGTGCACGCTGTGTTCCAAGCGCAATTTCGGTCTAGTCTGACGTGTCCAAGATGTCACCGACAGTCGAACACGTTCGATCCTTTTCTATGCGTGTCGGTACCAGTGCCCCAGAACCACCGACAAATGAACCTCTTCGTGAACGTATTGTACACGTCGCAGCAGCCACGTCAAGTCAAGATTGGCGTGAGTGTGAACCAGGCTGCAAATGTAAGAGAACTACGGGAAATCTTAGCGAGTGATACCGGGATTGACGAAAATCATATGCTACTCACGGAAATCCACGACGAAGGATTTCACAGGTAACCTATGTTTCTATTTCACTGTACAGTTATTTGTTATTAAATCGAACTATTGTGTAAGTTCATGGACTATCTAGTGACTATCTAGTGGATGCAATATAGTAAAATTTATTATGTATTCTTTTCAGAACATTCTCAGATTGCCAACCTCTATCTGTGATCACTGAAAATGATCCACTCTACTGCATAGAACTGCCACAATTGAAAGAACCCACGGAGCAGGCTTATATTCTGCTGGTATGGATCAATGTCCTTGCTAAAGGAGACCTGAAGCAACGTTTTGGCAGTCCGTACACAATGCAGGTCTCCAGAGAGACGTCGTATGAAGACCTACAGAAACTTCTACTGAAGGAAATGCATACTGTTCTATCCGATGACGTTCTTACATCCAGCCAAAGTCCTGGATTGTTCAACATTCGAGTAGCGGATCCAGCAGCTACCCCAATTCAGGATGAGCATCCTTGCATAGACCCCTGTGTAGAGCATCCTCTTTACACGGAACAAATCGAACAAGCATTGGCTCTCTGTGCTGATGATTCTGGTCCACAGCATGTCAAACTGATCTTAGAATGGGACGAAGCCACAAAATGCAATATCATTCAGGATGACAGCGATCAAATCGAAGAACACGCCAGTGTGAAGCAGTTGAAGACCAATTCGGAGTTGGGAGGAGCTGTTACTCTTGAAGAATGCTTCGATCTTTATACGAAAGACGAAGTTCTGGGAGCTGAAGACGCGTGGCATTGTCCATACTGCAACAAGAAGCAAGAGGTTGTCAAGAAGTTGGGTCTCTGGTCCCTACCCGACATCTTAGTCATACACCTGAAGAGATTTCGTCAACAGTCCAAACAAAGGTCAACCTCGAAATTGACGATGTTGGTCGATTTCCCGCTGTACGGTTTCGATATGACTCCTCACTTAGCCCACAATGGTGTTCAGACTCACAATAACGTGACCAGCTTGGGTGGCTTAGGCTGGTCACCTTGGAAGAAGCCTAGACCCCGTCAGCAAAATATACCCAAGTACGATGAAAATGTTTATGACCTTTACGCGATCTGCAATCACCATGGACAAGATCTGCAAGGTGGCCATTACACAGCGTTCTGTCGGAATCCTTACGACACTCAGTGGTACTGTTTCGACGATACCCGAGTGGAAGCGGTGAACGACACGAATCTGATAACTAACGCCGCCTATATGTTGTTCTACCAACGAAGAGGACTGACCAATAATTCGGGAACCTCTTCAACGGCCTCCACTAGCTCGACTGGATCTGGGCTCGACCATTGGGTCTCGAAAATGCCGCCGTTCTATTTCAACAATAAGACCAACAGTAATGTGACGAACAATAACCAAAGTAAGTCGCAAGAGGTACTGTGTCAGGAGAAGATCGTAGAGGAGAAGAACATGACGAATTTTAACCGAGGCTGTCGCAACTATGCCACTTTGCAACCGAAGAAGAGGAATGTTGCGACCGAGACAGATATTGGACAGATGGATCATTATTCCGATGATGAGGCACCATGCAGAAGGGAATGGGTATGTTGAAAAAACAATAAATTGTTAACCTCTTTTACACTAAAGGTTTTTATATCGCTACATTTTTTACGTATTTGAGGTTATGGTGCCATCATTATTAGCATATTACTTAATTTTACGTTATTTTCGTTTCAGGCGTCACCGAAACCCGTCCGAAAGATGTCGTCCATCACGTTAACACCCCATGTACCACAACCCACGATAATTCACAGTAGCAGCGATCCGGACACAACGATAATACATGAGTCAACGTTGTAACACACAATTTAAGCCAGATTCGATCTGGCTCGAGCCGACGCTCAATATATAGTGCCTGGGAATGCGGTGTTTTAAACTTTCCCCGAAAAACGCTAGAGAACCAGAGTACGGACAATTATTCGCGAAGCTTGAATACATTAATTTCTTATATCGAGAGAAGAAGTCTAGGTTAGGAAAAAAAAAACTTCAAGTTCTATCGCTCCGAATTACTATAGAAGTATATGCTTTCTCTTTATACGTAGACGTCGAACGCGTAAAGAATATCCGAGCCTCGTTTAATTCTCTTGATTTTATATTTCAAGAAATGAAAAAACAAGACGGCAGCGTTCGATGAGTATTCTTCCGAGTCTGATAGCGAAACTCGAGGCATTAGTGATGTTTTTTTTTTTTTTTTTTTTATTTTTAAAAATTTTTTAATTAGATCTTCAATACAATAGGTAACAAAATCCTACATATGTCTAGGAAGAATGTACTCGTGTCAAAGAATTCTCCCGCGATATTTTATCGCGCGAATCGATGTAAACATCGAAGAAGAAAATACAAAGTCGTGGTTCACGATGAAACTATGACAATAACTTGAATCCTGCATAGGACAGGATTCACGTATTACAGTAAAACCCTATTTCCCAAGGATGATTCTTTTCTGGACATCTATGTAGTCGCTTAACCATTGCTTTGAATCTATTGCTTAATTGTAATATTTATATTGTATTTGTATCACCTACTAGTGGCCTTATCTCAATAATTAATATATATTGATATGTCATTTGCAATCGTGTAAGCATACTTTTAACTTCGACAGCGATTTATTATCAAGTATCGATGTTAAACCACTGAAGCCACCGAATTACCGAACAGCTAACCATTTTTTTTTAATTCACCCAAAACCGTATGTCGACCAAGAAAATCAGTATACTTCCATCGTTGATTCTCGTTCTTCCTGCGATTGGCACAACGGAATGTTACCGTTTGAAAAGCAACGCGTGTATGTTCGTCGCAGCAGGAAATTTGATGATTGCAAAAACACAAGGTTTAAAACTTAAAAATATGTGATTCTCTCGAGAACAAACATAATGACCTTGATAATTTAGAAAAAATTATACTGCAAGGAAAAACAAAATTAAATTCATCAAATCTGTTGTTCAGCATTATGTAATACTAATGGTGTTTTGTATTTCCTTCGATTATTATCAGATTTACCAAACATACTCAAATGTTCTGTTTCTTACGAATTACCTTGTATGCTTTTTTTTAGAGATTCTTCTTTTTTTAGCATTTGAATACTCTTAATCTCCCAGTTGTAACGATCATTCCACTTAGACACGTTTAGTAGAAAGCGATGGAAAGCAGAAGCATGAAAGTGAAACAGATTTATATATATATATATATGTATACATACATGCACACGTGTATAATTAACGAGTGAATGATATTTAAGTTATATTAAAGTAACATTTATTACTAGTCACACGTATTGTGGACGGAGTGTAGTGTGAGTAAATTGATGCATGAAATAAATTGCAGTCAGTGTTCAGTTAAACCCTCAGTTATATATAATTGGATTCAATTGGGATTGGATTCAAGTTGGATATATGAATCAGTATAATCAAATTGTAAAATATTAAGAGTATCTAACCAGTCATTTTTATAAACAAATAATTTGAAACATGAAAGTTTCAATAAACTTTTATAGGGAGCTAAATCCGTTTTCAACTGAATGGTACAGTAATGTTGAGGGTTTATAATGAAAAGATTTTGTGTCTTTATCCCAGTGGGTGTTGGACTGTTTAAAGTTAATTTTTGTTCACAATGTGGAGCCTCCTACCTTCTTTTTCAGTAACGCAAAAAATGACTGAGTTCGAACTTTTAATATGTCATATTTTCGTTACACTAATTCTACTGAAAAGTATTTGTGCGTATCGTATCCTTTACTTGTAAGCATGTACATGTTTCTGAAGATGTCACTATGTAAGCTGATTCCTATAGCAAGTCTCCAGGTCATGTTAAGTGCCATGGCGGACCCAAGAGCCTATACTCATGGACTTCAAATATTCCTGTATTTAGGCTTCTGAAAAGATTGTTTTGTTTAAGTCTAATAATTGGAAACCACGTCGCCCGTAACAGTATCTGCGTTCATCTGACGAATTTGAATGATATAGGGGAAGATGACGATGAATACGCCAGTTGTTGGATTTGAAAATCTAAAATCAGATGCCTCGGTAAATGTTGAATTTAAATAAATCTAAAATATTGCTTGGGATCCGCTGTGCCTTTGTAAAGCGTGGAGATTTAATCAATAAGTTAAAGTGTATGTAAGGGTGTTGACTGGTAGAAAAAAAAAGGAAGAGAGGAAGAAGAGATGATTGTCACTACCCGTTATTAATTACATGATTTTAGAAGTTGCGTACTCACGTTAATCGACTGAGGGTAATACTATTGATTATTCATATTATCACTACTATTTTGTTGGAATAAATAGAGAATGTACATATAGAAAAAAAATATCATTCCACTCTATGCACGCAGAACTGTCAGTTTCGATCGATTAACGACGCTTGTCGCGTTTTAAGAGTAGAATAGTAATCACTTCTTACGACTTTTGTAAAATTACAAGATATCTTCATCAGAGGGAAAGTATCGACAAAGAAATTTAATTAGTATAGTGTTTTATTGAACTTTACGAAGATCGCCGATGTTCGTTGAAACATCCGTGTTTGAAATGTAACGAGGAAATAAGTATCGAATTTAGTAAATCTTGTTTTAATCACTGATTTCGTGGGTTTAGATAGTAAAAAAGTAGGAGGTATCGTTGAATTCGGAACGAAAAATTGTATAATATTATTCAAGGCTAATGTAAAAAGTTTATAAATAATTAACGATAAACAAGATATAATATACAAAGATTTGTCAATAAAGAAGAAATATTCATACGTAAAGTATTTGACACCTAGTGATTGAAATGAATGATGTATTTGATTATCGTTTACATTCAAATTCGATTTTAAAACAAACGGTTTTATAGATCTAAAACCCTGGTAATATAATTTATATTAACTTTTTAGTTATGAAGTAATCCAAATTTAATTTTATATTAGTTATACTACATTTATACAAATAAAGTAATGCAAGAATTTGTATAAGACAACTGAATTGTTCCTGTTACGAACTGTTGGTAAATCATTTAATTGGAACAGATATGAGTAGCTTGAGCGTTTTGCCGTAGGTAGCGCCACAAGTCTTTTAAATAACTTTTGCATTAATTGTAAAAGTCTGAGGTATATCAATGAAAAGAAACTTTTCAATTATTGATGAAAAACAATCAAATATTATTTCAAAACACTTCAAATTCAATTTAGGAGAATTTCACAGACAACCTAATACCGCTGGATAAAATTTCGAATTCCAATTTGAGCAGTTTTCCCCCATTTTTTGTTATCATATATTTTGTCTTATTACATTTTGTTATACAGATTGTCAAAATGGAGTTAACAATCATTTTGATCGTCAGTAAATTTTTATGTGTTTTCATGATTATGTTCATTGTGATACAATCTATTCAATTGTTATAACCGCCCTGAATCATAAATCGTTAGTCATAGGTGGGAAGAATGATTCAACCAGTACGTATGTAAATATAAAATATATATTTTCAAATGTACCTATTCAATAATATCTCGAATTTCATGCAGTATGTTTTTTTTTGTATTAAAGCAAATTAATATTTATTATAAACGTCTCGAATGTTACGTCGAGTCTCTGGACTTTAACAATCAGTAAGAGTACACAAACTGAAAGTCAAGAATAAACACTTTCTTATTTATTAATTCCTCTACAGTGTTCATCAAATTTGTTTATACAAAAGGAAATTTAGCATCAAATTCGTTTCAATTCAGAATCCGCTAGCTATAAAAAATAAATGAACTACGATGTATTTAGCGGTGTACAACTAAAATATGTTCGTGATCTATGTTAAATTTACAGGTTATGATATTCCTTTATTTACTAACAATACTACGTGTCCTGACACCAAATATTTCTATGTTTATTTAAACCCAGAGTGCCTTCCGGAGGTACATATATTTTAACTATACCAAGAAACATACAAAGACAATGGATTTTATATATTTATAACGTATACAAATGTATAGAACACAATGACAATTGAACAAAGCTGAATGATACCTCTATTACGCTTTTAACATTATATATTCCTTAATTATCGAAATGAGTTTCTGTGATCACGGTTCCCGTAAGAATAATCAATGAAAACAGAAATTCACACGGCATCTGCAGTTCTATCAAAACATGTAAACGCACGAACATAACGGGTAGAAGGGGGGAGGGGTGCAAGAGCAACATTTTTCCCTCGATACGCTCTGTACAGTGAGTTACAGGGGGTTGTCGCGTGAATTTTACATCCGCGAGATGGTACACACTCATTTTTGACTCTCGCTGTACGTCTTACGGGAGGACGATGGGATCGCGTGCTACATAGTACGCTGGGATTGGCCGTGGCGCCACCCCACTCCGCGGCGGGTTTCAGTCGAGCTCGAACCTTCGTCGGGTGTGGAGTGCGTGTCGTTCGGTCTTGTGTCAGTGTTCAGATTATTCACAGAAAATCAAGGTAAGAGGAACCATCATTTCCGAGGCGTATCCCACTTACACAACTGTGAGACTACGTGTCCGTTTATACAATATTCGTGACGAATTTCTTCTATCCGGCGAGATCGTTGAACGAAAAAACCGTGGTCGTGTTTATATAGGACATTACGCGGTGAACAAACGTAATAATAAGATCGTTACACAAGATCCAGTTTCGGTGTTCGAGTCGATTTACGTCGAAATGAAATTTCGATGTTGGGAACACCGATCCAACGGTCGTTCTAACGAAAGCAACAACACACAAGAGACAGCGCCTCTCCCCCACGAGATAAGAGGGACAGAGAGGGAACGTGGTGGCGCTCAGAGCCGTCTTCTTCGTGTGTACTCTCGGGGATCGATACATACAGTATACACACTCGCCGCGACGTTCGCTCGTGTAAGGTTACGATACGTGTACGCGAGCTCCATGCGGGTGTGTATGCCGCCTCTCTCCGCCACCCTCGTTACGCTCTCGCGTCCCTGTGTGTCGCGTGCGTGCTCCCCAACGGGTAAAGATGGATTTTCGGTGTGTAACCAGTCGTCGCGTCGTCGACAACGCAGGAAAATTCAAAGAAATCTAGAAGTACGCGCCGCGCCGTTGCCCGCTATGCGGGTACCCCGTGAAATGCCACCCTCCGTCGGTCCACCGTCGGGCTGAAAGGAAACGCATGAGAATGACAGTAGCCGCACGGTGAAGACGCGTCTGTAGGGGAGCTTTCGGAGGCTGTCGTTTCAACTGCCGCGAATTTACAATACACCAGACGGCTCGGGACACGTTACAATGACCCTCGCTTGATCTTGGGTGTTATTTTGGCTGGGGATCGTAAGAAAATTGTAGAAGGCGAATAGTTACTCCTAGACGAGAATCTGAACGTGGTCGACTGGTATATTTGTGCGAAGTAATTTTCACATGATATATTGTACTGGATGCCCCACCTAGCTTTACCATTTGGCATATTTATTATTGTTTTTTTACGTGCAGGTAGATAGGTATAGACAAAGGCATTTGGAATAGGGAATCTAAGGTCACAATGCACGAAGGAAAAGGGCACAAAAGGCGGGGTGCTGTCTTTCGACTTTTATTCACCCTAACCTTTTTCGTGGAATACTTTCATAGAACTTTTTCTACGTTGTGCTATCGTGTTCTCGGGAATATCTTAGGATGTATCTCTGCTTAATATTGTTTAATACTTCGTAGTAGTTCTTACAGAATATTCGAGTTGTTAGTGAAGTACGTATATGTCGGTTGTAATCTAGATTCGAACAATTTGGGTTGGTTTCTATGCGACCTGTGGTTTTATAAAGAAGTTGCAATCGAATCAGAGCATCAGTCGAAGTTCTTCCTGTTAGATCGAACGATAAGCACGGTTATGGAAAACACTAGTCGCCCGGGAATAATTCCAACCACGGGTCTCTCAATTTCGATAAAAAGGAATTCGTACCCGGTAAGGTTGAACCTCACGGCAATAGCGTGACAGTATGCAGTAATGTAAACGAACTCTGTTACCAGCGGGGTATAACCTCCACGCTATACGTTTCCGATATTCCCGGTTGGATTTTTACTTTCGACGTCTCTTTCTACGAAAGCTTGCAGCCATCGCCAGTGTATCCGGTTGTACGTGTATGTACACGTATATTACGTTTTCTCGCGTGTACTCCTGGAAATCGGTATGGTGACCGACCAACAGAGAATAGCCGTAATACGCTCGACTGATTGTGGGAACCGACACCGCACGAGCTCGCGACCGTTGAGATAGCGATGGGATCAAGTTCAATATGCATTTATAAATATCGATCGATCTAATGCTTTAAGTGTCCTTCCATTGAAATTGAGTGGCTCTCGTCAAAGTAAACGTCGGATTTAATGTCCATAGATATGTTGTACGAAATATTCTTATTGCTTGATTTAACATTTCATGGAACGAATTTTTGTATTAGATCATTCAGATTAGTTTATTTATATAATTGTACAGGGTGTCCATCCAAACGTGAGCAAGGTTAGTATCTCATTTGCTTTTGATTTGCAAAGAATTTAACTCAAAGTAATGTCCATCAAGTTGGATATATTTTTGCATTAATCCCGTTATCCTAGCTATTTTATTATTTAAATCTACTTTCATACATTTGTGGATTTTTCGTAATCAAGGTCACACGAAGGTCACAGTATTCTAGGTCATTTAATTGGTCTTGATCTCGACTATAGTGCCACGATGATAAAAATAAAGCATCGGATTAATTTGAAGTTTTATATTTTACTTTGTGGTGGTAACCCTGCTCGCGGGGTACTCGAACACTTCACTACGTAAAGAAATTAGGATAGACCACAGTAAGCTGGGTAACTTTTTGCGTAATAGGAAATATCCTAACCTATTTATCGGTTCGGCGAGCAACTGTGTTTATCGGTGAATATAAGACCGGTACATGGAAGGGAAATTTTTACCCGTGTAATTGCTCGGTTTCGGTAAAGAAGTGTTGACATATTTTTTTGATAAGAATAATATCTGAATGTTTTGACGAACCTTTGTGGAAAAGGACGCAATGACCATGCACATAGCACCACGTCATTTACAACTACTAGACTATCTAACAGTTGCCCTTAATGGGGCTCGGTCGTTGCTGGAACCATCTGTGAATCGTCCTCTGACTCACCTACGACCTCCTAGGTACACGTGTTAAAACGTACGCAATAGTCGTATATGTACATGTACAGGGTGGACAATATAACCTGATCACCTTAGCTATTTCCGTCGCTACCAGACCGGTTCAAATGAATTTTTTTAATTTCTTGGATCTAAGAATTCTACCAGTTAGTTACAGTGTGCATTTTATAAATAATTTGTCCTTTATATTTTCAAGGGTACCTTCCGTTTTTTAAACTAAATTACTTATCTATTACTAGATAAAAAGTTGAATTCGCTAAACACCAGCAAACATTTTCTTTTTTCCTTAGAATTGAAGATATAATAGAAAGGAAGTATTTTAGAGGAATCCTGCAATGCCACACATTAATCCAATATGTTGTGCTATCAAATTGGTCTGACCTTTTGTACGATGTTTGTAAATATTGAAACGTTCCCCGTCCACTGATAATTAATAGCTCCCACAGGCGTAAATGAGTACCTCTGTAATGTTTCGAAGGCATATTTACAATCGCGTATCATTATAGTAACAAGTGAAGAGTTGGAATAATCATAATTTATGAGGCGTGTAAACGTAATGTTCTGATACCGTGCTATCCATTACGTTACATATTTTAACGCCTACTTAAAACGCTTCGGCAGTTATCGTTGACCTGATTACCAATTGATGAAAAGATTTTCTATATAAACATTTCTAATATTTTACAATTCAAATTATAAATACGAGTTCTATTTAAACATTTCTAACATTTTCCAATTTCAATGATGAAAACATTTTCTATTTACAAAATCCAAGGTGACTTACAAAACAGTATTTGTGCACTAAAACAACCTACAGTTATTACAAATGTGCTTTCCCCTTGAAATAATTTAACTTTCACCGTGTAACAATTTACATCGAATCATTCGTGAATAAGTTCAAGATTTCAGGTTAGGTGAATCATGGTGTATTACACGATTTCGGTTTTCCCTGTACTGTACGGGTATTCGGTAACTATTTACAGTCATATTAATTCCAAATTTCAAACGCATATATTCCATTGTAGAGGCAGGGCTAGTATGCATCGTTACGACCGAATTTACATTTAGTTCCGCGTACACTCGCTTGAGTACGCACGTCACCCGTAAAACAAATCGAATTTTAATAATCGTCCGTTGTAATTTGTTCGTTGTGCAACAGACCTAACTGTCGGCTTTACTTGACGCACAGAGCTATCGCAGGATGCTTGGAATCAATAACACAACCGACTGAAAGTGGTGGTGTCAATTTCAATGAAACTGGAACGCGCGACGACGGTTATTAATTCCGTTAAAGAGTACCTCGCGTTCGCTCACCGAAGGTTAGGTTCGCGTCGGTTGCCCGCGAATTCGAAGTTATCGACCAGGCGCCACGAGAAATCTGTATTTTCGACGGGAAACGTGACCCGGTTGGTTGGCAAAGAGTCGACGTCGACGATAGCGCTTTTGTTTCGAGCGGTGCCAATGATAATTAACCAGTTGAATGAGGAGTGCATAACACAGTTTCAGTTTCCTCGTGTCGCGAGTTTGATATTGTTCGAAACCGTAACCTCGAACACGATTCATTTGAAATAATTGCCTACTCGTTGCTAAACTTGTCTCGAATTTAATATGTAGTTAACTAAATTTTACTGATGGTTTCGAATTATTCTTTCGAGTTTGTACTTGTATATTAACGGTTACTAAAAAAAGCTTCATTTCGATTAACCTCTTGAGGGATAGTGGCGCATGTATGTACCCTTCCGAGCAAACTCAGTTTCCGCTAGGGGAAAAATGGCGTAGGAAAAGGGTCTTCTACCACTTGGTAAATTTATTTCAAGTAATGAAATAAAGGTTAAATCGAATGTCAATTTAATATAAAGTTAAGTAATTGCCGAGATCAAGTAAGAGGAGGCCCTTTCCCTACACAACTTTTTCCTCTAGCGGTAGCCGATTTTGCACGTGAGTGTAAGTTTTTCTTTCATTCAAGCATGATTTCAAAGATATATAATGAGTATTATTGTAAATGAACACTCATTCGGAAATTTCGTAAAAAAAAAAAAGGATGAACTATCAATTGATTGTCATTAATATTTACAAATATATTTTAAATAGCTTAAAAAAGATCAAGAAAATTATTTTTTCCGCTCTGAATAATTTGTCCCTGAAGAGGTTAACCGCGCCAGTGAACTGCGTTTGTAAACGGTATCGTCTTTGTGAACACTAATCGATTCCAGTGAAACGAATGTTATGTGACTATGCTCCTCGTCGGGTGGCCGATGACCCGGCCATAGGACATCAAGAATTAATCACCCTGCCGAAACGCTATCTTCTCAATTTCTTCCAT